AGAGCGTTTTTACAGCTAAAAAACTCCTCTAGAAACCCACTAGTCCTGTTTTTTTTTTTTCCAGCCAAAAAACGCCCCTGCCAAAAAACGCTGATTAAAGCCTATTGTGCATGGACGCATAGGATAACATGGGGAGTTTACTGGCTCTAGTAAAAATCACCAATAGCCAAAAACAGTAGCTGTAAAAACATCAAGTGTGCATGAGGACAAAGAGAGAGAGATGTTTTATCTACAGTTGCAACTCTGATAACCTCCCTTCTCAGTGTGTGCATGAATTCACTGCAGGAAAAATAAAGTTTTTACCCTGCAGGGGGAAGTCCCTTGGACTGGCAGGATTCCCAGGTATTTAAGTATAGAAAAGAAGTAAGGATTTTTTTACTAATTCAAGGGCAGCACAGTGGCTAAATGGTTAGCACTTTTGCATGGCGGTACTGGGGTCATTGGGTCGAATTCCAACCATGGCACCACCTGCCTGGAGTTTGCATGTTTCCCTGTGCCTGCATGGGTTTCCTCCGGGTACTTCGGTTTCCTCCCGCACTCCAAAGACATACTGGTAGGTTAATTGGATCCGGTCTAAATTGGCCATAGTATATGTATGTGTGAATGCAATGTAGGGACTTTAGATTGTACGCCCTTTGAGGGTTAGGGACTGATGTGAATGTACAATATATATGTAAAGCACTGCATATATTGACGGTGCTATACAAGTACCTATAATAAATCAATCAATTTAGTAGTAATGAAGCTTTAGCATAGAGATTTTCTGTTTTTGGCTATAGTTATCATTTATATTTCAGTAAAAACATTAAATGTTAACTATCTGAAAGTTCTGAACATGTGAGGGGGAATGTGTTAGACCTGTACCAGAAAATAAATTATTCCTCAGCATTTTTAGAAAAAGTACTGTGGGGGAGGGATGGCAAAGCTACAAGAAAAATATTCCTAAACAGTATTAGCTGAAAAAGTTGCTGCAACATGACAGGAGGTAATGACTATGATTTATGATCCTCAGCTCTTTTGCTGCTTCAGTGTGTTGACTGTTCCAGTGCATGTTTCTGAGACTTATTGTCCCCAGAGTTTACTCCTCTTACAGATCAGGTATCCAACCTTCTAAAGAGATGCATCTATATATAAAAGGAATAAAGTGGATTTCAAAATATTTCAAGGGCTTGTATAGGTTAGGAAATACAATACTGGACACTCTAATGGAATGATAAAGGTTCGCAATCTTACCACAGATGTTTACCACAATACATTTTTGGTGTTCCTAGACTGGTAAGAATGAATGATTTTCTAAGCACCTTTAGCCGATACAGAATTGTAGACCTGAGGATCCCTGGACATGCATCTGCAAAACCTCCCAATAACACACATACATGTAGTTGTTTACTATAACAGTTTATCAGATGTTTGCATTTCTCATTCAAAATCATAATGTAGATATTGTTTGTGTCAATCATTTACTTTTTCAACACACCAATTGCAATAGTATGAAGTAAAGTCCAACTGAAATATTTTTCGGTTCTTAGAAAGAAGCTGAGTATAAAAGACTGTTCCCTGCCAGGATGCTGTAAAGGAGGACCTTTGCTCCCTGCTTGATAGGTTCAAAACATCTCCTGCTGGATCAGAGCTAAAGTTCTCCAACAGGAAGCATCTTTGCTGACTGTAGAGAGACCACTGCTTCCAAGTGCAAAGATCCTTTTCTATATCATGCTGACAGTAAACAGGCTTTTCCACCCCAGGCTGTGGCTGCTTTTAAAGAAAACAACTGTTAGAATTTGAACACCTTTTGCTGTTATGCTATACACCTGTATTGTATTTAGCTGCTTTAAATTTTTATTTGGAGGTCAGAATTTTGAAGGTAATTTATTTAATGGCATATGGTTTATTTCATTTCAATGTACCTTATTTGATTAAAAATTCTAAAAAAATATTTCCCATTAACCTGATTGGATGTACTGAGTGAACAGGCTCTAAGGTTATTGAAAAAATATGATTCTTTGTGCTGCTGACCTACATTGTGCCGCTGTTTTTTTCCCAACATTTTTTTGGGCTGTTAAAAGCTTGGTAATGTAAAAAAATATAGAATGGTAGAAACGTACGAAAAGAAAAAGAGAGTTGCCTCCAAATTACATTTCATAATAGTGAGTAGCAAAAAATAGAGTGCTCAATGTTTCCCATGGGACCTATACAGTGTGATCATTGGGATATATATTTCTGTCACTGATATGAGATTGTTGGGATAGAATTCTGCTATATCATCTATCCTATTTATAAAATGCATAAGCAAGGTGAAGGTTAATACTATACTGTATATGCTAGGTACTGTCAATCTATCAGCAAAGAGAAATATGTTGTTTTAATTATCTTGCTGGTTTCAGAGTATTACATTGGAGTAATTTAGTTTCACTACCCTAACTATAAATGGGTAGGAAGCATGAAATATATTTTTAAGATATACTATATATAAACCCAATCATTTAAACATCATATAAACTTTATTTTCAAATTTGCAGTTTTCATTAAAATAATACCCAGTGATCTTACCATGACTATCCTTGTTCAGGCTTTTCTTGTTATGGATTATTCATTTGCATATCCATCCTATCAGAGTTCACTAAAACCTAACTTTTAATATTTGTTAAATACAATATTTTCCCAATTTTATATCAATGTGTGTTTTTATTTTCTTTTATTTTCAAATGCCTCTGTTTAGGATGAGATACTACATTTCAATTACCTTTTTATCAGCTGTCTCCTTTTGTAGTACCAACTATACTTGCTATTTTTCTGTTATTCCTGTTTTCCTAGAGCCTCTGTAAATTTATGTCTCCCTTCCTTTAGTATCTCTCCATTAACTCATCTTTTTGCACAAGTCAGGTCTCCATAGAATCCCTTTGTCACGGTGTAAGGTCAGGTTCAGAGACCAGTTGCTATAGCAGTAAAAGGCTTACCTGGAACCAGCAGGATAGGTACACCAGCGGATCCCCCTGGGAGTGACGCAGGCTCACCTGAGGTGCGGGGTCTAAGTATTAACCGGTATTCACCAGAGCTCCTAATGGTGGAGATGGATTGGGCTGCGTGTTAATACCAGGTCGCAGATCTCAGGATCACCCCACCAGGGAATGAGCAGACTGGGAACCAATAGCGGATCAACAGGTTAGGGATCAGACGAAAGCAGAGTCGGTCACAAGCCAAGGGTCGGTCACAAATGGTAGCAGATCAATCATGGTCAGGAACAAGCCAAAGGTCAGTAGCGGAGGTGTAGACAGCAGCAGGAACAGTAGCAGGATATTGGCTGGAAAGGCACAATAATCTGGCAAGGAGGAAGTCCAAGGACATGGCTAATATAGGAAGTTCATGGGAGGAGCAAGGAGTTCAAGGTTCAAGAGCAAACAAGGCACAAGGCAGGATTATCCAATAGATGAGGCAAAGTGTTGTCCAGCATCCCAGGTAGCTCAGTGAGTAGAGTTACTGCCTGACACAGTAGAAGTCCCAGGTTCAAGTCCAGGCCCTGACACCCTTTTTCTGAACTTAATTTTTCAAACAAATTCCTCCAAACATGCTTTGCCCTTTTCATGGCATTGTCAGGGTTCACATGTGCTTATAGTGTTTCTGGTGTACCAGTGCGAAAAATACAAATAGTAAGAATATTCTGTATGTTGATGGAATAAAAGAACATCAGAAACACTGAACCTATGAAGACTTTCTAGGAAAAAGATGTGGATAATTAAAGAGAGGTTAAAAGAAAATAATCTGCCTTACGACCCTTTTAGTTAAATTTACTATAATCTGTGCAAAGTGGTATGGAAGCAGAAGGCGATTTTTAACCAGGGTTGACTGACCATTTGGAAACTCGGGCACTGCCAGAGGCCCCAGGGGTCAGTAGGGGGCCCCATGAGATGCCCCTGGTACCTTTTTCATAGGCTTTTTTGAGTTTGGGCAAGGACACAGGGGCCCCATGATCCCCTATTGCCGGGGGGCCCCATGACTTGTCAGTCTGCCCATGTTTTCAACACTATTTTGCCTCTTGCATGTCATTAATACTTGTTGAATGTGTACTATATGACAGCTTTTCTTTTTGACAACTTGTAATGCTTTGGATAACAAATTGACTGTACATGAGAACCTTTGCCATAATAATAATAATAAAAAAAAATCTATGGGGATTTTTAAAGGAAAGAATGAGGAGATACTAAAGAAAGGGAGACAGGGGTTTGATTTACTAAAGGCAAATACTTTGCAAGTGCAGTTGCACTAATTTCCCCAGAGCTTATTGAATTCAGTTTTCCATCATCCAATCCTGTGCAAGGAAAATGCTGTCTTTTTTTCCTTGCACCTGATTGGGTATCCAATAAGCTCTGGGGAAAATTAGTGCAACTGCACTTGCAAAGTGCGCAGTCTATTTGACCTTAGAAAATCAACTGCAAAATGGTATGGAACACAGCAATACTAGAGAGAAAATAATCGTATTTAGCAAGTAATAAAAACAAGGTTTTAGTGAACTCTGATGGTGTGGATATGCAAATTAGTAATATATGTCAAAATCTATTATTTGAGATAGAAATGGTTTGAAACTCCAAATACAGAGAACGGCTGTCTTTTTAGGAATAAAAACCTCTTTTGATAACTTTCATGTTATAGGGTGATAATACTCTGTTCCTGGAACCCTGCCTGGGGATTGCCATGTAGCAATCACTAGAGTGTATGCATGTAGATAGGGAGTAGCTGTAAGGAGATTGCAACATATCAGCAGCAAAAGTATTTTGTTATAAAAATGGTAACTGTTTGATACACAGTCCTTTAGCATACTACATGGATTTCAGTTAGGATTCACTTTCATCTGTTTTTTCACTTGTTTCCAAGCTATGGAGCAATCCTATTACACATGTCAAAAGGTGTCCCCCCTGAGTTCATGCTGTAGTGTAACTGTTTTATTAAAGTGATTTACTTTAAATTTGCTGCAAACACCTAAAAATCTATTTTTTTCCAACCACCAGAACATTGGCTTATATCACCTGATAAAATAATTGGTTCCTTTAAAGAAAAGGCTGTGCAGAAAGAAAGCAAGATATCTCCCAACAGGCATTTACATGTGAGTGTATTTTTATTATTTGTATTATAATTTTATAAGTATAATAATTTATTCAATAACAAAATTTGAATGTTGAAGATCACAGTGAGATGTTTAAAAGATTAGTGGGGAAGATTGGCTATTTCATTGTGCCTCTTGTCAAACTAGATGAGACAGTGATACATATACAGGAGGCATATCTAAAGCTTTTAGTTAACCCTGTCTAAAGTGCTTTATCTAGCTAAGCATTTTAAACTCTAAGGGGTTTGTTTATAAGAAAATTGCTGTGTGAATGTCTTAGCATTCGCACAATTGTCATGAATAATCCCTGTAATGTTTCATTAGTACCATCTAGTGGTCATACTGCAGTATTTTTCCTGAAATAACTCAGTCAGGAAAATACTGCATTGAGGCCGATAGATGGAAATGAAAATCATAGGAAATACATTTTTAAAAAATTACATTTTACATATATTATAAATATTACAGGAATTACTCTTTATGTTTGTGGAATTGGTGGGACACTGGTCCAACATTTTTTTTAATAAATAGACTTCTAAGTGTAAAACAGAAATTTCAGCAGGCATATTTGTTCTGATCCATGCTAAATATCTTGAAAGAACATTATGCAGCACTACTCCCGTAGGAGCCGCAGGAATGCTGTGCATTTCTTCTCCAAAAGATATGCACATAGGCACATAGGCTCAATCACACGTTTTTCATTGACCGGCCTAGGGGTGTGTTGTTTTTTTATTTTTGGAGAACTTGGATGGGGTTGAGGGAATTAGGTGGGATAATCCAAAAACAAGAATTATGTACAGATAAGAACTTTAGGTATTTTTTTTAATCAACTATGAAGTCTGTGCATGAAGCAAAGAGTAGACTTCAGATTTAAGGCAGTGGTAGTAGTAGGAGCAGAGTCCCATTAGATAGGAGATTAAATGGACAACTAGCCAGTGTCCCCTTTAGCTAGACCCGCAACTGACTCCCTAGCATCAGAAGGAGGGGGGCTAGTAACACACAGTCGCTAAGATCCTTTAGGAGCGTCTGTATTCATAAGGCCCAAGAACTGTTGGTTGCCTTCCTCCATGATACCAGACCAGATCTTCAGTAGATGGCCCCTCTCTACTGTTTCACAAAAGATTGCAACTGGAACATCTAGTTTGATATATCAATATAGACCTATAGAAGTTGATTTACTCAGTCCTCTGTGTTCATGTGAATTGTAGTGGTCTATTTACTTTGTTCATTCACCAAACATGCCTTCCTTTATGACAACGGTAACTTTACAGTTTTTAAAAAACACTGCAGTTTATATTTTCTTAGCTAATTTCTACTTGCATGGGTAGTCTGGTTGAAAAAAGTCCATCCAGTTCAACCAATAGAAGGGAAAGAAATATAAATACAATCCCATATACACAATCCTATAACCACAGTTTATACAGAGGAAGGCAAAATCCCCAACAAAGCATTATTCGATTTGCTGCAGGAGGGGAAAAAATCCTTCCTGTTCCCCAAGAGGCAATCAGATATTCTCTGGATCAACTTTTCATATACATATTGGTATCCCATTATATTTTGTTCATTTAGCAAAGAATCCAGGCTTCTACTGAGCTGGCCAAACCAGTCTATTCCACATTTTCACAGATCTTACTGTGAAGAAGCCTTTCTGTATTTGGAAGTTAAATTTATTATCCTCCAGACATAAAGAGTGCCTCCTTGTCCTCTGTGATGACCTTAAAGTGAATAACGGTGCACCAAGTTCACTATATTGACCACTTATGCATTTATATATGTTGATCATATCCCCGTTAATATCCTCTTCTCAAGAAAGAATAAATTCAGGTCAGCTAATCTTTCCTCCTAGCTGAGCTCTTCCATGCCTCTTATCAGTTTGGTTGCCCTTCTCTGCACTTTCTCCAGTTCCCCAATGTTCTTTTTGTGAATTGGTGCCCAAAAACTAAACTACATATTCTAGATGAGGTGTTACTAATGATTTGTACAGTGGTAAAATTATATCTTTCTCTCTCTCTGAAGTCTATACTTCTCTTCAACACAAAGGATTTTACTCACTTTGGAAACAGCAGCTTGGCACTGTATGTTATTATTAAGCCAATGATCTACAAGAACGCCCAGATTTTTCTTCACAATACTTACCTGAGTGCTGTGACAGTAATTTGTTTACTATAACAGCACTGACCTAGCTGTATCGGTCAAGTCGTTAAAGAAAGTAGTGCTTTTAAATTTTCATCTTTGGTTGGAGCTACATCATAGTGGAATTAGAATCCTCAAGAGATAGTGTGAACAGAGCATAGATTGAGTCTTTTGAGTAGTGCTGGCTGGTTGGCAGACACTAATGATGGTGTTGAAGGTGCTAATTAAATGTGTAAAGTATGATCATTCAATATTATTATGAAGATGTGGCTGAAATTTCACATCACAGGCAGACAATTTTGTGTATTTGTAAAGTATTGCAAACGTTTGCACTGAACACTTTTTTGAAAAGTATGCTTGAGAAACAAGAAAGTAGCTAGATGAGCCAGGACCCAAGAATGCATATGGTAAAGCAAGCTGTATGGCTTGCTGTTGTTAGTACAATAACTGCTTGTTTTTTATTTTCAAATTCTGACCTCAAGAGATGTCCCCTCCTCTGAGAAAATAAACATGTTCCTTAAGGTCCATGTCTTGGTAGGAACTTCATGTTTGTTTTGTTTCATCAGTACCAGATCTTCCATTAAATTCAGCTTCTCTGCTCTTTGGAGCCAGAGCCCAATGGATGGTGGTTGTGCATCTCTCCATCTAAGGGATATAGAGGATTTGGCAGCATTCAGAAGATGGCGTAAAATTTGTAAATTTTGGGTGGTGTGTTTGTAGCATGGAGATAGAAGAATGCTGGGTTGTCGGGAACACAATAGTCCGTAAATTTTTGGACAATTCAACAGACCTCTCTCCAGTAGCGCACAAGCTTGGACATGTCCAGAAAATATGTAGAAGTGTTCCCCTTTCCTCATTACAACACAAGCACTTATCAGAGGTGTCGCAAACGTGCGCAACAGAGACTGACGCAGTCCGCCATTTTGTTAAGAGTATCCATTTTTCTCCCCTCACTCCGTCCCCCTCCAACTCTGAGAGGAGACATTTGGCCAGCGTGTGTGTGTGCTGGTTGTGGGTCACTGGCAGGCTAAGGCATCTCTGAGCTAGGTGCCTAGCTGTCTAAGCGAGCTGTACCATTTCACACCTCAGAAGAGATAAGGCAAGCTTTCTCTGGAGTTGAGAGAGATTCCAACCTAATAAAACCTAACTCAGCGTAGGTGGCAGAATCAGATAACCTCTGTTAAAACCATTTTTCCCCTATGTCACATATCTTGGAAAAGGAGCGACTTACATAAAAACCGAGCATATCGCCAGATGGGCTAAGAGGAGCCAAACATTTTGGTGGGTCACTCGCCTTGTCTCGGACACACAGGAAAGCAGAAAAATAGATCTTGTGAACCGTTCAGTGTACACTTTCATAATTCATATCTAATCAATCCTCAGACTTGTCTGCATAATAATCTACCCACGGGTGGAATGTCACTTGTGCAGATGAAAAGTTATATGCCAAATATGAGTTATGGGAGATTTTTGCTCTAGTTGAGGCATCCACCCATATCTCCACACCCAAAGTAGAGATTGGTCCTTGACTGCAGAGCCACCCCCTGCTGGGGACTACAAAACAGGCTGTCAGGCCTAAGAGTAGGAAGTTGAAGAATTCTCCCATTGACCATCATAACATAGGGAGATCAAAGCACTCTTCTGCTCTGAAACTTGGATCTGCTAACCCAGGACTTTGGCAAGTACTTTAACGCTTTCACCTCTCTCTGATATCTCTTTGCTGTGCTGTGGTTCTTTGCATATATATCTTAGTTACATCTTTTTCCTGTAAATATTTTTATTGCACCTTTTTGACCTTTTAGTAATAAATCTTTCTTTCAGAAAGTGTTGAACTGTTTCTGTAGCTCTGTATTGCAATTTACGAATCCCTGCCTCTAAAGAGAACGCTACTGTTTGTTTAACCCTCTGTATAACAGGCTTGTGTTATGACCGTGTTATGCAGTCGATTATTTCAATCATTATAGTGTTATAGCTGATAACGCCGAGTTTCCTCTTTCTCTGTATAAAAATGAGGTGGTGGCAGTGTGAAGGGTTAATTGCGTAATTAACCTGACCCAGTAACAATCGCCATCGATTGTGGTCCATTAGCTGGAAAATCGTTGTGCAGGGTGCAGCTGGGTGTGGCATTGTTACGTGCAGCACATCGCGGTTTTAGATCGGCTAGTCCTTTGGTCACCAGTTTGGGTGAGAAGGTCTGGGGTCTGACGCCGCGATCGTGACACAAGAGAGCTGGAAAGAGCTTATGTAGGATGGAGGGTGTATGGTACCACCGTGACAGGATCCTGAAATTATTTTCCTGGATCCTAGTACATAGTGATGATTTCAAGGCAAAACAAACTATGTTGTTTTTTTGTGACTCTGTGAAGGTCCTCCCCAAGTCAGATTCCCATTCCTCAAAATAGGGCAAGGAGAAGTCTTCTGAGGGGAAATCCAAAGAGTGTACTGCTTAGATAGGGACTGAGAAAAAGTTCCATCACCCGAGCAGTGTTCCTCAAACGTGGGCAATCTACACTGAAAGCCTCAGGAAGAGATGAAGGAATGGAGAAATTTAAGAATCTGTAAAGCCTTCCAGGAGTCTAGTTGGTAAGCTCTAGTAGGGTCTATTAAAGTCTTTATGGAAGGCCAGGAGCCTGCTTCCAGGAAATGGGATGCCTGAAAACAGCCTGAGTGTAGAAGAATCTGAAAGGGGCCTTCCATGAGGCCTGGTGGAAAACGCAGACTGTCCAAAATTGGGAATAATTGGGAACTCTCCTGAGTAATAGATGTAGTCAAGAATAACATCGAGCACACTCGGGAAGTCGTTCCGATCAGCGCATGAGATTTGAAGGATGTGGGTAGATAAGTATGACACCATGGGGCTCGTGGAA